GCATCAATACTTCTTTGGGAGGTCGGGGAATTCGACAATCAAGGCCTATCACCCCAGGCCTTATTTTTTTCATACGTGTGTGGTGTGCCAGCGCACCATGTGTGTGCGATTCCATGCACGATGTGCGCTTGCAAGTATGGTTCCAATCCAAAATCATATGGTTACAATAGGGTTAGGGGCTAACCCCTTCAGAAAACAAAAACAACGCTCTCTGGGGAGTTTCATGTAGGCTCTGGTTGGGCAGCCTCCATGGCATATGACAAGAAGGGCCACAAGTTCTGCACGGTGGAGAGCCAGAAGACAGGAAGAGTGGGCAGCTAAAGATGATAGACAGCAGCTAAAAGTCTTCTGTCAAGCTACGAGAGGAGAAAAGGAAGGAAGCAGTAGTGGAGGCATCAATGGAAAGGAATATAACTGGGATAATTTCAGAAAAGAGGTGGAGGTACAGAGATAGACAGAGAGAGGCACAGATACGAAAGAAAGATAGATGAATAACACACATGGGGCACTAGTCGTATAGAGAAGAAAGGGGGAAGTATATAATGGGCTAGATGGAAATGGAACAACATATCCAAAACTGATTACCCGAAGACCACTTGATATCCGTAATCTTGATGCTGCACCTCGTACTCACAACTAGTTTGCCCCTCAATGATCACCATACCCCAATGTGCTGTTTTCCGATACCACGATCGCCTGCTCTCCCCTTCTAATCCACCTCTGTAAATTCCCACACCCTTCAGCATGCCTCCCTCTGCTTGAATAATCTTCAAATCAGTCACAGTTGGAAGGCCTGCATTGCAGAAGCAAAAGTACATGGTTAGACGCGTTGATCAAATAAAAACGACAAGCGGAACCCCGCCGCGCCTGTGGCTGGGCAATGAGAATGAATCTTCCGGTAGAGTAGGAAAGGTACACTGGCATACTTTTTTCTTTTGTTTTTTTGTTGCATCGTTCCAAGTTTAACAGATGTCCCGGAGGACGGGATATTTTTTTAAGGGGCCTTGAGATATCATCATTTGAACTGACCTGCCCACGGTAATTCAGAATTGAAGAATTTTACTCATCTGCTTCATGTGCTTCATGTGCTTCATGCGGGGTTTGAACTCAGGTCTGTACCGGAGGATTCAAAGGCTCGCTCCTCGGCTCTCCAAAATTCCAAATACATAAAAGACAAAAATATGGCTGGTGTACCTTTCCACGTTCTTGCGGACGATTCATTTTTAGTGGAGGGAGGCTCTCAGTCTGCAGAAGAGGACTACGGGTGTCACTCCTCTACTCTCCACACGCACAAAAGACAAATATGGCAATGTTCTTTCCATGTTCTACAGGAGGATTCAGGCTCAAGATACACAGCCATATAATATGGCAATGTATCTTTCAATGTTCTACAGGAGGATTCAGGCTCAAGATACACAGCTATATTCTTTGTCCTTTGTGCATGTGGTAAGGCCTGCCCCTCTTTGAAAAAGACCAAAAGAAACGACAGAAACTATTGAAAATGAACAACGAATATATGTATCTCTTATACCCTAAAGGGAAAACCGGTCCTCGCAAGACGCAGGAGCCGGGCCCAGGGAAAGTCGGGCAGGGAGGCACGCGCGTGGCACTGCGGGGTCGTGGGACACGACGTGCCAGACAAGAAAGGACACCGCGGCGCGAGGCGGTTCGGGAGGGGCGCGGTGGGCGGGTCCATGAAAAATCGCGCGGGGCGGATGGTGCCCGTTGGCCGGGTCCTCATTGCAAAGCGGGGGCGCGGCGGGTGGCCGTATTTGCGCCGGCGGGGTCCTCTTTGCCAGGTGTGGCTGGGCGGACCGACGTGTCGGTCGGGGCGGGGCGGTTGGGTACACCGACGGAGAGAGAGAGAGAGAGAGAGAGAGAGAGAGAGAGAGAGAGAGAGAGAGAGAGAGCCGGTCGGATGGACCATCGGGAGGCATTGGGAGGTGCGGCGGGCCAGTCAGGTGGAGCGAGGGGGAAGAGGGCCGATAGTGTGGCTGGCCGGAGCGACGAAGATTCAACCAGGTAGTGTATGTTTCCATGTTCTAGCCGAAAATTCATTGGATGTTGCTCATCCTATCGATGGAAGTAGCATGGCGGGAGCCGCGAGGTCGGAGAGTTGTCGTCTCTCTCTCTCTCTCTCTTTCTCTCTCTCTCTCTCTCTCTCTCTCTCTCTCTCACACACACAC